TGTGTTTGTTAGAATTCAGGGATTGTGAAGAATTAGTAGAAATAAGGAATCGTTTATTAGGGTAGTTTCTCAGTGGTAAAGAAAAGTATATTATTATAATAATTTTCTCAGTTTAATCATTCTTCTTCGATTGAATTTTCAACATTTCCAAACTGTGGATCTTTGTGTTGTGGATTGTGATGTGAGTGTTAGTTGAAATTTAGGAGTTGTAAACGATTACTAGGAACAAGAAATTATTTATTAGGATAAACTGATTTTGATGAAAATTGTGAATTGTATTCGAAATTGTGATGTAAATGTTAGTTAAAATTCGAGAATTGTAAACAATCACTGGAAACAGAAGAAAATGATATTATTATAATTATTATAATTATTTTCTCCGTTTAATCATTCGTCCTTAATTGAATATTCAACATTAGTAAACTGTGGATCTTTGTATTGTGGATTGTGATGTGAATGTTAGTTAAAATTCGGGAATTTTAAACAATCAGTAGAAACAGAAGAAATTATTCGTTAGGATAATTCCTTTAGATAATTAATTATTACAATTATTTTCAATTTGTGAAATCTTTGATAATGTATTTGAAAAATAAAGTGAAAATCTTTGATCGCAATGCAAATTTCATATTTAATTCATCATTTTATTCATCAATTCAAATACGCAATCAGAAAAGCAAAATTCCAATATAAAATGATTTTTCCTACTAAATCTCGCGAAAACCATAAACTTCTTTCTGTATCCTGTGCATTCTACGCAGTTTGCACTCCCAAATTCCCCATGAACGCACCAGAATCCTTCGACTACTTGTCAGCTATCTATTCTATTCACAGAAACACGTTGTCATGCGATTTCTCGTGTGCTTATCGAACGCTGCGCTGGAAACTGTTATCTGAAACGACGAGACATCGCTGAAAGTACAATCAGCGAGTGAACGGTGGATTGGCGGTGACGCGATATAACGGTAAAAGCTGGGGTATATTTTTAAAATAAATGCACAGTCGCGATTACAGCTGGATAATATTTATTACGTTCGTTCGGGAAACGGTATTGGTTTTTAATGGGTAGCTGAAGGTGAGAGGATTAGAGGAAAATGTGTTTTTGAAACTGTGTATGGTAGAAATGGGATATATGAATGGAAATGGGAGGATCTGGATTTTTTTATGGTAGTTTGATTTGGGGAAGTGAAGTTTAGTTGTTGGATTTATGTGGATGGTAGATCTGTGGTGGTGTTGTATATTTGAGTAGGTGTGTGGTTGTGTAGGTGTATAGTTGTATAGTTGTATAATTGTATAGTTGTGTGGCTATATAGTTCTGTAGTTGTGTAGTTGTATAGTTCTTTAGTTGTATAATTGTACAGTTGTATAGTTGTATAGTTGTATAGTTCTATATTTCTATAATTATATAGTTCTATAGTTCTATAGTTCTATAGTTCTATAGTTCTATAGTTCTATAGTTTTATAGCTCTATAATTTATATGGTTCTATAATTCTATAGTTCTATAGCTCTATAATTATATAGTTCTATAGTTCTATAGTTCTATAGTTCTATAGCTCTATAATTTATATGGTTCTATAATTCTATAGTTCTATAGCTCTATAATTATATAGTTCTATAGTTCTATAGTTCAATAGTTCTATATTTATATAGTTATATAGTTATATAGTCACATACTTATACAATTATACATTACCACAAAATAATTAATAACCAACTAATTCCCACAGAACAAATCACACTACAGGTTGAAACAAAAAACTGAAACAAAAACTACGTTTATATACACGTTTCCAAAACTAAAAATGTTTCAATAAGTTAATTCGAAAATAATAATATAATAAAAAATAATAATAAAAAATATCAAGTTAATATTTTGACTGCCACGTAAACACTCATCAAAACTCCCGTACTCATGTACTCGAAACAGTTTTCTTCATTAACCAGAAACTGAGAAATCAAGATCAAAATTCGGTTCGTTCGATGCGTCATGAAAAAAATTAATGTCCACGTTTCTGTAAAAAATTATATCACCCGAATTCGGGTGACGTGGCAGTCAAAGTGTTAATTATTATTATTATTACAATTCTAAATTATCTTTTCATTCATTAATAGTTCTCCAATGTTGTCTAAGTGGACTCAAGCCACTTTCAAAATGAACGTCAAAATGGAATCCGTCGCTAAAAATAATCGTCAGCGTGTTAATCATTAGAGAGTTGCGTGAATTTAGACGCAACGCGTGGTATTCTTGACACAAATACTACGGATACTTTTTACAATTTTCCAGCGAGTCGGGTAATACGCGAGTTGACATAAACATTCCTCGTGCGTTTGCTCGTCGACGGAAAATATTATTTGTCGTAGCAACAACCCGTCGCATCCATTAGTTAATGGACGTCGACTAGGCAAAGGCAGTGAAACTCGTGCACACTTTCTTAGTGATAGAGGAAATTATTATTATGATTGTTATTGTTATTTTCTCGGTTTAATTATTCTTATTCGGTTCATTTTTAAAGATTTCCTATAGTTTAGGTTTATAAATATTGGAGACTTTCTTAGTGATAAAGGAAATTATGGTATTATGATTGTTATTGTTATTTTCTCGGTTTAATTATTCTTCTTCGGTTGGTTTTTAAAGATTTCCTATAGTTAATTTTATAAATATTGTAAAAATCAAAAAGTGTATTTAGAATATAGGAGTAAACGTAGATAATTAATTGTTATAATTATTTTCTCACTTTAATCCTTCTTCCGCAATTGAATTTGGTCCATTTCCTATGATCAATTCTACAAATATTCCAAATATTGCAAAATATTACACTAAATCAATAGAAAATGTGTAGAAAATACAAATAAATTCTGTATCTCATTAAACAAATTATAAAATATCCAATACCCATAATTACTCCACAATTTTTCTGAAAATAGTTACAAAAGTTCAATAGAAAATTAGTAGAAAACACAAGTGAACTCTAATCTCCGTTAAACGAATTATTAAATACACAATACCCACAATTATTCCACAATTTTGCTTTCTAAAAAATGTACAAGAGAAGCCTATTTGCAAAAAATGCGGTGGAAGCGAATAAAACGTGCATTATACACTTCCGAATAAAAGAAACTATATTTCTATACTGTCAAACATGCTATTATCTTCGTTCTACATTAAAAAATCTAAGAATTAGGAAGTTTGCCTCTACAAACTATTTCCTCGAATGCATTTCAAACGAAACGTGATAACACAGAGTTACCGAGGAGAAATGCAACAGAAATTTCCAGTGCGAAGGGTGAACGGTGGTTAATTGCCTCGGAAGCTTCAGATAATCAAGACTGAACCACATCTAGTCTCCGATCAGTTTCAATCTAGTAACCATTGACGGAACACGGTCCCGAGTTATCCACAGCGATCGTTCGTCGAGATATTCTTCGAATAGATTATATTGTCACGTTGTTTCCAATGTTACCAGTAAGAAGAATCGTTCGCGCTGCTCTCTGCAAGCCAACTATCTTCTCAAACGCATTTCGAACGAAATATCCTAATAACGCAGAGCGACCGAGGAAAAATGCAACAGAAATCCGGAGGGCAAAGGCAACACTCGTGAATCAACCCTCTGGCTCTCTTACGAAGACATAGTTCGCCTCATAGATCTATTATTCCTTACAAATCGTAGGTTTCTCCTCATAGATCCACGAATATCCGTGATTCTCCTTTTCGTAAGAGATATCAAGCTCCTGAAACTTCCGCTATAGGAACTAACCCTACTCGAAAGTTCACTCGAAATATTCCGTACCTCAGACAAGATCCAAAATTTATCGAGAAACCTGTGCTAAAGACCGGTCAAGATCGGAACAGGTAGCGTCGGTAAGAATACTGTTAACCCTTTGCACTCGATGCAGCAAATTTTCAATTCAATATCAAACCTTGTGTAACGTATCGACACATAAATATCGATATAAAATAGAAACAAGATAATCAATTGTGTTTGCGAAAAATATCGTTAATAGTCAGAAAGTAATGAATATTTTCAGTGGAAAGTATTGTCGAGTGCAAAGGGTTGACGCGTCGCCACCGGTGACCCCAACCAAATCGAATTGCAACTCAATCAATTAAAGGACTATTTAAAAATATTTCTAATGTGATATTCATCTAGATAAACATGCAATAACTTAATTCAATCAAATTTAATATTTCCTCCATTTTGTATTTTACTCCATAAAATCCTGCGTTCGTGTCAACACTAGAACTACCGAGCGTTTAACACAATTAATATGCAATTCCCATAAAAATTGTAACAATAGATTATTTTCAGTTTCTTCACTCATCATACTCCTCAAACGAAACTATTTTCAATATCACAAATATAGTGCTTCTAAGATATCAATAATTGAAACAAAAATATCGAAACCATTTCGACCGATCCGGCAGTTCTAGTGTCAACTCCTTGTGATGATGATTTCTATACTAATTTAACCCTCTATGGGCCGAATTTTCGTGAATGTAACAAAATCGATGCAGTATGAAATCAATAAATATCAACGTATGAACGCAAATTAACAGTGTATTCGATAGTTTCAATAATTTCATCGAAACGAATATATTTTGTAACTTTCAAGTTACAATGACGTTGAATGAACGCCTGTACAAAAGTTTAAGTTGATTAATCGTTTAATGTCGTTCGTCGTTTTGCAATAAAGAATTAAATAAGTCAATTTCACCCGGTATATTGATGTGTGACTTCAAAGTCACGTCATGTACTCAAATGAAATTTCCACCTGAAGTATGGAAAATTTCGTTGTATTCCTCACAAATTGTCGATAGTCGAATATTACACTTAGCAACGAAACTAATTAGTACGCCAAGAGGTTAATACATAATTCAACTTCATCCGAAGGTTTTATACGTTTCAAACTGCAAGAAATCCAAAGTTCGAACGAACATGCAAAGGGACGGGTAAACAGTGATCAACACGGGCCTCCATGAGAACAGAAACTTTATTGAACCTGCGTTGCGATCGTTTCCTCAGACTCCAGAAGACAGCTCGACAGTCGTATCGATGATCGTTAAAAAACATCCGGTTGCTCGCGTGTCTGTATTAACCCTTTGCACTCCGGACGCCAGTCGTCAAAAATTGATTCGACACAAAACTGCAAAGTTTAAAGTTCAACATTCAACTTTATACGAATCGAAAGAAAATAGTTTCCTCGTCAAATCAATTCAACCACCGAGTATCCGTCGAAACTCGAGTGCAAAGGGTTAAGCGCGCCTCGGTTCATACGCAAGCACGTGTACAATAGATATACATACATACATACACACAGAGGGCTCGCTCGGGGTAATTGCCTCCACACTCGAAACGATACGTGGACAATAAAGATGACCTACGGTAAACCTTCCGCTACTTTATCTTACACTTTGAACAGTCGCTCGGGGCGCCGCCATCTTGCGGCTCCTCCCTATATACAATTCGTTCGTCCCCCACGATTGGCACTAATTAGCTCGCAACTTCACCAAACCAACTCTGTACCTCTCAACCCCTATCATTCAACGCAAACGAACCAATATCAAATCCTCAAAGGTCAAGTCCTAAGGTCCACCGCTCACACGCCTAAAACGTATGTACAATCCTACTCGCTTTGGCACATCACAAACACCATTAGACCCCGTTCGCACTGCCGGAGGTGGCCGGCACGTAGTAACTCCTGGCCTGCAGGTGGTTAAGATGGATGCCTGGGACCTGTGGGCTGGGGATGCTCTGGTTCCAGTGGCCCATGACCTTGGCGTCCGGGCTGGAGGGCGTGCCGGGCGAGGGGAGTGTCTCAGCGACGACGTCGACGTCCACGTCCTCTTCGTCCTGCTCGTGTTCCTGATCGTGCAGCTCGTCCTCGCTGCAGCTGAACCTCCTGGACTTGGGGGGTCGCAGGTCAGGCTCCAGCTGATCGTCCGGCGCTAAGAGAGAAGCCACGTCGAACTGTCTCTTCCTGGGCTGGAAGGTGGCCTGCCTGACGGACTGGAAGGGCTGCTGGTGCGTCCAGACGCTGGACACCTGGGGCGCGACGGGCG